TTCATGGAGCCGAACAACCTTGTAACCCAAGATGACACCATCGTGCATTCTGTCACAAGTCCCGAGTCGTAGTAACGATTTCTCGGAAAAATTGGAGAAGGGAGTAGAGTCGATTGTGATAACACTGGATTACCAAAGTAGTAATGTATGCTCTCGTTGCTGCTCTAGTAACAGAAAAACAACCCCATCAGCGCAAGAAATAACTCTTATCTTTATTTTGTCGGCATCGATATGATGTTGGATGCTTACATATCCACTCTGAAGTTTGCATCCTATAACCTGCATGAAATTGTGTAAGATGCTAAAATGTCAAACATAGGTTATAACTGAACAAATTTTATTAATCCATAATTAGTTTACTAATGAAGTAATAGTAAGATACTTACTTTCTTAGAACAATTTTTTTTAATTTTACAAAAATAAATTAGTGAAAAAAAAGAAGATAACATTATTGTTGACTTACCATCTTTTTCTATTACAGTTATTACAGTTTCAATTGCATTTTAGAAATATGTTAATTTCAGTTGAATAGAAATATGTTAGTTTCAAAACTTTTGATAGAAACATGTTAGTTTCAATTGCATTTCGTGAATAATGATCATAATCTTATATGTTAGTTTAAATTGCATATTTCAAAATTTGTGGATAATGATCATAATCTTATATGATTATCATTAAAACTTTGTAGTGATCATTATCTTATAATCTTATGATAATGATCATCATCATATAATCTTATATGATAATGATCATAATCTTATAATCATAATCATATAACATTGTGATTATAATCTTATAATCATAATCATATAACATTATGATTATAATCTTAAAATCATAATCATATAAATTTTGTTATAAGATTATGATCATTATCATATAATCTTCATAATCTTATATGATCAAAACTTTGTGGAAATATGTTAGTTTAATATGAATTTCGTGAATAATGATCATATCTTATATGTTAATTTTGAAATATGTTTGTTTCAATTGCATATTTCAAAACTTTTCATATTTCAATTGCATATATGATGATAGTCTTATATGTTAGTTTTAATTGCATATTTCAAAACTTTTGATAGAAATATGTAAGTTTCAATTGCATTTTGTGAATAATGAGCATAGTCTTATATATTAATAGAAATATGCTAGGTTCAATTGTATTTTGCTAAATATAAATTTTCAAAACTAAAATTGATAAAATCTTATACGCATTCGAGTATATTACAAGAAAAATTAAGTGGCCTAGCTATCACACCTATTGAAAAAGAAAAATTTAAATACTGATTTTCAAAGTCTAGTCAATAAATTTGTAGAAAAATAAAAAAGTGTTTAAAAGTATTATTTTCTTTGTTGTTTTTAATAACAGTGATATTTGGAAGACATTTTTAATGAATGAGGGTATATTTTTGTTTTTTTATCGTTTATGTACACAATTTGTGTCACACGACTCTAATTCCAACGTTAGGTTCCTCAACAAAACTATCAAACCCTAGTCCCCAAAACAACAGTCTTTAATGTCATTTGTCCACTAAAGCAAGAGATTCCAAACTTCTCACAAGATGGAAGATACTTGATTACCTTTGACAATTACAACCAACCGGGCGTGTCCATATACTGAGTTTCACCTCATTCCTCAATGAAAACTTTTCCCTCACAAACCATGAAATTGCCTTCTTCGATAATCAAATTGCATTGGTTTCTTTAGTATCAGGAGTCATTTACATTTATAAGTTTCACTCATCCGGGTAACTGGGATATTCCCTTTAAAGTTGGATATCTATGAAAACATGACTCGTGACTAAGTTTAAATGAAATTTTCTATTATAATTGGTTTGACAAATAAAAAAAAAGTCATAGATTGTAATTTAGATATATTTGGTTGACAAAATGTCTTTAAATATAATTGATAAACTTTTTTTTGGTAGAAACATGATATGTGGCTAAACAAAGGTGTAATGTGCTCGAGTTCGAATATATATGTGCATAAAGTAATGAGACACTGTTGTTAAAGCTGGAACAGTCTTTAAAGATTTTTTCCCGTGTGATGATGCATGGCTAAGTTAAAATGATTTTTTTTTGTTAGATAATGGAAATGAAATAATAATTTAGATATATTAATTGGTTTGACAAAAGAAAATCTGAATATAGTTGATAGTTTCTTAATTGAATGATGATATACTGAAACCCTTTTGATAATTAGTTGAGAAGTTACTGGAGGTTAACATCGTAGCTGAGCATTGCCTGGCAATGCTCAGGAAGCTAAAAGGAAACTGGTGAATTTTTTGAAGCTGCGAGTACTTTAGAATTGTTGTTTAGTGAAAACTCCTGAAAAGTCAAATGTTACAATTAAGTGATCTCAAAACAGAGAAAGAGAATCCCCTATATATTAATTGAGAATCATTTAAAAAGTTGTAACCTTAAGTTTGTAAAAATTAAAAATAACCCCAATCCTATGTGGCATAGCTCTTTGGCTTCTATTTCAAATCCCAAGGATTCTAGAGCATGTGATATAATGTATAGTCTAAAAATTATACTCTCTAGCAATATAATATTTCGTATGTTAAAGTTGGTCGCATATATCAAATATTTAATGTTTCGCATGCTTTCCTTAAATAAAACCTACGGAATTACCTAATGTGATTAAAATATATATATATATGAGAATTAATGATTTTTAACAATAAAGATTTGATAACAATCTATATACTTTTTCTCATTTTGTTTATTTCTTTATTATTAAAATAAATTACACAATTACATTAATCATATAATAAAAATTTAGATTTTTTTTTGTGTATGTTGTATTTCGAATTTTTCAAAATGAGTATAAATTACTTAAACTGTTAAAAGTCTCACATAAATTTTTAGGATCATGGTTTTAATTTTTTTCTATATTAAAATATAATGATTATAAGACCATATGACGAAATAATTTTAGTTTATATATATTTCATATCATTTTAATTAAACTATACATCATATGCAAATACATACTTATATTTTGATATTTTCCTAGAACATATATTGAAAAGTTAATATTTTAGTGTTGAAATATGTCTTTTTTAAATGATTACAAATTATTGAAACTACTAAACATCTCACATTAAAAAAATGCGTTGATGTAAAGTTTTGTTACACAAATATGCAAATAATCATAAAATCATATGAGTAGAAACTTCATTTAATAAATATATATATTAAAAGTGTGCTATAATATGTTTATATCATTTAAATTTAATTATATATCATATACAATATATAAGATTGATTATTTTGATTTATTACCCTAATTGCGAATAAACGGGAGTGGTAGTTAAATTTATATGCATACGCCAATTTATTACATAATAGTAACTGATTTCTTAATTATTTAATATATATATATATATATATATATATATATATATATATATATATATATATATTATTTTATAATATGCATAAAAATAAAAAATACTTATTATGCATAAATTGCAGATCTTAACCTATGTATGTATATCTTTAATTATTTTAAATCTTAAGTATTTTCTAAATCTCAGGTCAAAACAAACAAACGAAATGAGAATAAACTTTAAAATAAATATTTATGTCAAGTAATAACAAAAATATAAAAAACAGAACAAGGAAAAAAATTGAAGATAAATAGGATGGACACGTGAACATAAACTTCTCATAACCATAATTAATTTGTTAAATCATGATATAAAACTGAGTTAATTTTTAATTTGTTAATTTCTAAATTCTTTAATTTTTTAAATCATTATGGTTATCTTAAATCCTGACCATAATTAATTTTAAATTGTTTATTTGTATTTGAAAAACTTAAAATATTGTTTTTTAAAATAATTTAAAATTTAAGTTAATTTTATATAAAATTATTTTAAAAATATAATTTGTAAAAAATATAATTCTCTAATATTATTAGACAAATAAATAAATTATATTAAATTAGTTTTGAAACTTTACATATTTTAAATGTAAATATTTTTACCAACTACTTCTTAAAAAAATATTAGGGAACTTGCTAATACTCTACCAATCAAGCCCAATAACACTCAGTTTATTTTTCATCACTCGAACACTGAAAAGTGAAAAGATATATGAAATCAGGTTCATTAAATTCTAAGATTTGATCTACAGTTCTAATTACAATTGTTTCTGATCCTATGTATAGATAATTATATAAAAATTTCAAAATTCTAAAATTTCAGATACATATAAAAATAATCATATGTAAATTTTAAATTTGTCAGTATATTCACATATGTAAATTTTAAATTTGTCAGTATATTCACATATGTAAATTTTAAATTTGTCAGTATATTCACCCTGCGCAAGGCGCAGGTCTTATCCTAGTGAAGTAAAGTAATACATTCACCAAAAGATTCATCAGTGTTGAGAAAGAAGCTTGATCATATATAAGCAAATTTACAATACTAGCTTTTACCAAGAGATTATTAGACATTCATTCACGCTCTTCTTTGGCGGTGACTTGGTAATAAGCAGAGTCAAAACAGCATCTCCCATATCTTATAGCTCATCAACAGCTCTTTTATGTTTTGGCTCGGTTTTTTGTAAAACAAATCCAGTTAGTATTCATTACATAACCGACTGGTTTTGGTTTGGTTTGGTTTAGTAAGATTTGAGAAACGCGTATATAAAATTCTCAACGGCTCTCTCTAAAAAATATAGCCGTTAGCGACTTTCCGATTAGAGATTCGGGGACAGCCCAAACCCTAAATCACCTCCAATCGCCTCCACTGCTTAATAGTCAAAACTATAAATTCACACCCAAAGTTCACACCTTTCTCCACCAATTCAATCTGCTCTCATCTCTCATCATCATCCAACGAACTACTCTTCACTCTCTCTGCTCGAATTTTACTGCTTTATTTGATTAGTCTTTGATCTAATTTCGTTTATTTGTTCAGATCCGTTTCGTATATTATCACTGTTTCTTTGTGTGCTGTTTTCTCTGTGTGTTTGTGTTAACAATGGATGCAGGTATGAACACATCTTCGCACTTGAAGGCTCAAGCTCGTTGCCCTCTTCAAGAACACTTCCTTCCCAGGAAAAACTCCAAGGAAAATGTGAGATTTTTGCTTAATTAGGGTTTCGAGTTAGGGTTTAGAATTGTGAATTAGGGTTTCTAATTGCGGAATGTATTGAGCTGATTTGCTTTTGTGTTCCAACAGCTTGACAGATTCATACCAAACAGATCAGCCATGGATTTCGACTACGCACACTACGCACTTACCGAAGGAAGGAACGTTAAAGATCAAGAAACCACGGTAAGCTCGCCATCCAGAGAGGCCTACAAGAAGCAACTCGCTGAGACCATGAATCAGAATCACACAAGGATTCTCGCATTCAGAAACAAACCTCAAGCTCCTGCCGAGTTGCTTCCCACCGACCACTCTGCTTCTCTTCTTCACCAACAACCTAAATCCATAAAGCCTCGTAGACACATTCCTCAGGTAATGTCTATGTGGTTCTTTTGTTTAAGAGAACAACATCCATGTCTCTACTTGTTATTGTTGTATTGATCTGTTTGTTTTGTTGTAATAATAGACTTCTGAGAGGACACTGGACGCACCTGACATTGTGGATGACTTCTACCTTAATTTACTTGACTGGGGTAGTGCTAATGTTTTGGCTATTGCGTTGGGACACACTGTTTATCTCTGGGATGCATCTAGTGGCTCCACATCTGAGCTTGTGACTATTGATGAAGAGAAAGGACCTGTCACGAGTATCAACTGGGCACCTGATGGTCGCCATGTTGCTGTTGGACTCAACAACTCTGAAGTTCAGCTCTGGGATTCTGCTTCCAACCGTCAAGTAACTACCAAAAGATCTCCTCTCTCTTTTATGTTCAGACATAATGTCTTGTACTTAAATGTGTTGTACTTTTTTTTTTTCTGCAGCTGAGGACATTGAAGGGTTGCCACCAGTCAAGAGTAGGATCATTGGCATGGAACAATCATGTTCTGACAACGGGAGGAATGGATGGAAAGATTGTTAACAACGATGTACGGATCAGATCACACATTGTGGAGACTTACAGTGGTCACACACAAGAGGTTTGTGGGCTTAAGTGGTCAGGATCCGGACAGCAACTAGCAAGTGGTGGAAACGACAATGTGGTACACATATGGGATCGTTCTGTGGCGTCTTCAAACTCCACCACGCAGTGGCTACACAGGCTTGAGGAGCATACATCTGCTGTGAAAGCCCTTGCGTGGTGCCCTTTCCAAGCGAATTTGTTAGCGACTGGTGGTGGTGGAGGAGATAGGACGATCAAGTTCTGGAACACTCACACGGGGGCTTGTTTGAATTCGGTGGATACTGGATCACAAGTTTGTTCTTTGTTGTGGAGCAAGAATGAAAGAGAGCTGCTTAGCTCACATGGGTTTACACAGAATCAGCTCACGTTGTGGAAGTATCCATCTATGGTGAAGATGGGTGAGCTCAATGGGCATACATCAAGAGTTCTGTATATGGCCCAGGTGAGGAAATAAACTTGCATCAGTTTCTGTTTTAGTGTTTTGAGTTTTTTTGAGGTCTTTTAGTTCTGAAACTTGCGTTATTTGTATGTGTTTTCTACAGAGTCCTGATGGTTGTACCGTAGCTACAGCAGCAGGAGATGAGACACTGAGGTTTTGGAATGTTTTTGGAGTGCCAGAGACTGCCAAGAAACCTGCTCCAAAAGCTGTACACGAGCCATTCTCTCATGTGAATCGTATTCGTTGAAGAAACTGTGAAAAAGACTAACAAACAAAAAGGGAAAGCTACTGTATTGTGATTTAGTACATAAAAGAAAGTATTGTATCTTATTACTTTTTTTAGATTTCATACTTCATGAAAACATTATTCATTTAACACTCTTATTCGTCCTTGACAAGTAACTTGTATTCATCCTTGACAAGTAACTTGTATGTCCACATAATCAACCAGTTAACATGTATAATTGTATATAAGTATTATGCTATGAGTCTATGGCTTATAAGTAAAAGAGTTATGCTTTGTGATAATGTTTAGGCTTGGACTCTTAAGTCTTGATCACTAAAGCAAGAAAAGTCTCAGATCTTTCATCAAGTTAATAAAATCTCAACAAGTTTTGTTGACTAGTCAACAGCTATAACTTTACTTAACCGGGTTAAGTGTTAACCACCGTTTAACTTTCTGTTTCGTCCTAAAACGAAAGTGAAGAATCTTTGTTATTTACCAAACAAACCCTATATAGTTTCTATTCTCTAAATATAACCCAACAGTTTGCTAATTACATCGTAAAGTCATAAGACAAAGCGTCGTCGTTTTACCATTAAACCCTAGATCCTTTCATCTCTCACCCGCCGCGAGGCACCACCTCTGCACATTCTCCTCAGCAAATCAACCGAAGAGAACAGAAACGGTAGAGATGGGTAAAGAGATAGAATCCCCGAAGGAACAGAGCTCCTACACCGTTGAGCAGCTCGTCGCCGTCAACCCCTTCAACCCTGAGATCTTACCTGATCTCGAAAACCACGTCACCGAACAGGTCACATCGCAAACGTATAGTCTCGATGCCAATCTATGCTTGCTCCGTCTCTACCAGGTACTCTTGTTGTTTTTTCATACATGTCTGAAGATTCTGTTGTCTCCTTGTCGTTTACTGATGTTTTTCTTTTTTTGTTGTCTCTGTAGTTTGAGCCTGAGCGTATGAACACTCATGTGGTGGCTCGTATCTTGATCAAGGCTCTTATGGCTATGCCATCTCCAGACTTTAGCCTTTGCCTCTTTTTGATTCCCGAAAGAGTGGTAATGTTTATTTCATTTGAAAACTGATGATTCATGGTGAAGCTTGAGTGTCAAGCTAAATTTGTTTGAATTGTGTGTTTCAGCAAATGGAGGAGCAGTTCAAGGCACTCATTGTTCTCTCACACTACCTTGAGGTATGTATTGCAAACATCAAATGTTAGGTTAGAGTTGAGAGAGCCTTTTTGGGACTTGATAGAGATGTAAAGGTGTTTATTGAGTATTTGGAATACTATGTTTTGGTTTTGTAGACTGGGAGGTTCCAGCAGTTCTGGGATGAAGCCTCTAAGAACCGTCACATTCTCGAGACTGTTCCAGGTACATATCAAATTTTCTGCAACTAGATTAGTTATTTAAGAATGTATCTATTGTCTAGTTATGTTAGCCCCTAGATAAGTTTGTCTTGGTGGTACATGTCTATTCGTTTTATGATTTGTGTGTAGATGATTTATATGGGAGAGAGTGAATGCAGGTTTTGAGCAAGCTATCCAAGCATATGCAACTCACCTTCTTAGCTTAAGCTACCAAAAGGTTCCAAGATCTGTGCTTTCCGAGGTATTCTTGCCACATGGCTTCCTTATTTCTAAAGGATTAGCTTTAAGTCATCAAGTTTTAGAACTTTGGATGTAATGTCTCTCCTTTTTGATGACCTTTGCTCGTTGATACGTCCTCTTTGCTCAATAGTTATGAACATTTTACACAGGCTGTTAACATGGATGGTGCATCCCTAGACAAGTTCATTGAGCACCAAGTGACGAACAGTGGATGGATCGTTGAGAAAGAAGATGGAAGTATCGTCTTACCACAGAATGAATTTAATCATCCTGAGCTTAAGAAGAATACAGGTGAGAATGTTTCCTTGGAACATATTGCCCGCATCTTCCCCATCCTTGGTTGAACCAATTTTTAAATGAGAACTCTGTAGTTTTTTTTTTTTCCTTTGGATCTCTCTGCCTTTTATGTAATGCAACATTTTAAGTCGATGTAATGTGATTTTGGCTTTGAGCTTCTTTTGATTCTTTGCAAATTAGGGAATACTTTCTTAAGAATCAAGTAAACCGAGACTTTGCCATTAGTAGATTGATCGATTATACTTGCCTGTAAGAGAATTGGGATGCCATAGTTTATATTGGGCTCTTTGAGCTACAAGGTGTTGGTAACAGGTCTTGAATCATTTTCTGCAAGACATGCTCAATATTTGGTTAGCAAATATATATTCTAGCAATGGCTTGTTCTAGGCTCTAGTTTTGTAGTTTTGGAATTGTCTTTGGGTAATGCTAGTTTATGTTTTACCCTTAAGCCTTAAGTGGCATATAGCTTTTGCGTCGCCTTTGCATCAAGATGCAATTGTACATACAATGCTTATTTTTTAGTAAGGCATGAAGATGCAATTGTACATACAATGCTTCTCCATTTTAGTTTTTTTTGTTACTTGTGTTATATTTCTGCACATATCAAATGCTCCATAATATATATTTTTCTTTTTATATACGCATTGAATATATTTGGTATGATCGGTGTCCCAGTAATATATTTATGTTGTAAAAATCACACTCCAACATAAAAGAACAGTATCACAAAACAAAAGTATAAATAGAAACTGAAAAACAAAAAAGGCTTCACGCTTCCAACAGAAACATATTTAGACATCCAAGCCGGCAGTAAACTTTACCCCTGTAGAAGGCAGCCAAAGATCTCCTTTAATGAACTGAGAAACGGTGAAATTGGTAGCCTCGTTCGAGTTGTTAAGCACGTGGTAACCAGGCCATTTGACTCGGCTACTGAGACCTGAACCAGGCCCGTAGTTCAAGAACTCTCCATAGAAGAGTGTGTTCAGTGCAAAGTCCGCGTTCCACTCAAGCCATCCTTCGGGTCTCACAACGTTGCTCATGTTGTTTCTCATGAAAATTGTCCTTGAATATTCCTTCCATGGCCTCCCTAGATACGTGCTTGTGGTGTTTAGGTATGGGACTAAGTCTGCGTCCGCAGAGATATTGCTGAATTGGATAGAGAATCCTGAATGTGAGCAAAAAGGGTACAAGTGAGAATCATTATATTGTGTAGTACATGCATTGACTGATTTTCTGATGTTGTAACAGTAAGAATATCCGCATCAAGAATCCTCACCAAAAATTATTAATATACTTTTGCATGTGTCTCTCAAGTTTTTCGAAAACTCTTTTAGTTAAATATTATTATTTTTGTGAAAGACTATTTGAAAGATTTCCAATACGAATGTTCTAGAGCTTATTAATAATATTAACATATAAGAAAGATTGAGGACTATTAAAAGAGTTTCAAGAAGATTGGCAAAGAAGTGTACCTGAGGGTTGGTTAGGATCTTTACGGCCTTGTGCAGTGATGGTATTCTTTTGGTTAGGGAGTCCTCTCCTAGCCAAAATGTGACAGTTCTGAAACACAACGGTCCCGTCCCCAAATATAAAATCTACCGTTCCCGTGATGGTGCACTCGCGGTAGAACTGACGCATGGTGTGCGTGTAGAGTGTATCTTGAAAACCTCTCATGGCACATCTGTAGAACACAGAAAGGTCAGAGTCAGACCTCAGGGCTACGGCTTGATGCTTCTCTGGTCCCGCTGTGTTCTGAAACGTTATATCTCTAGCTAAGAATCCTCTTCCACTGACAGCTGAAACATGAATCACAATGTTTCGGATCCATCAGAGTTTGAATGGTAACGTAATTATAATTTTTATATAATTTTATCTGGTTCATGATATAAACTGTTTTAGTTTTTTTTTGTTTAAAAGTATATGTTCGTTCTTTTCAAAGTTCTTTGTAAGTTTTATCTTTTTATTGAATACTGGTCTTATTAAAATTTTATTAGTTTTTATAGTTGATTAAATTATATTTTAGTTAACATATTAAATGATAATTTTGAAGAATAATAATTTTCTAAATCTCAGTATCTTATATATTAAAACAGAAGTCATGACTTGACTTCATGTGTGATTTTTTTAAAAATGTACTATTACTAGAAAGTTATGTTATATTAGCTCTCTAATAATCTTATCATTATTATATCTTATGAAAAATCATATCTATAATAACAAAGATATGCGTACCAATTTGGTTTTGGTAAATTACCCCAGACCTTCCAACTTAGTCACACAAAAATATGTCAATATATATAAGTTTAGGAATCTTCTATTATTTATAAGGAAATATGTCAATAATAGTTAAATGCATCCACAATATATTAACAAAATCACAGATTAGTAATATGGAATATTATACCCTAACAAAATTTACACGCTATATATATTAGATAAATTTATTTCGATGTAAATTTTTTAAATTATATTTTTTTTTTTTAAAAAAAAAATGTTTAAAACATTCTTTTTAAAAAATTATTTCTAATATTAATTTATGAAGCTATAAGTTTAGTTTTTAGCAAAAATTTCTTCGAAGTTTATATCATCTTTGCAAATTAAAGTATATTTATATTTAATCAAGCTCTATTTATATTATTTTATCTAAAATGAAATATTAATCTAACAAACAATAAAATATAGAAGAATAAACAAACACATGTTTGAAAAACATGTAAAATATAGAAAATTTGAAACAATCTATTTGATTAAAACACTGATTATATAATATTATTATGTTTGAAAAACATTTACTATACATATCGTAAATATGTGATTACTATAATATATACCAATTTACAAGTAAAAACAAAATGTTTATATAAATAACTATAAACGAAAACAAACACTCGCGCGGTTGCGCGGGTTAAAATCTAGTTTTTTGCTAAAATAAGTTATATTATGAAACATAGAAATCACTAGTTATTACCGAATGTAGCGGACCGGAAAGTGGTCCAACCATCAATGAAGCTGCGATTACCGGAGATAACGGTCACGTCAATACCATCACCTAACATTACGAGGTTCCATTTCTTCTTCTTGATCTCAACATTCTCCAAATATAAACCCTTTTTAATGTATATGACGAAACGTTTCGAGCTGTATTCAGGAGCTGCCTTAATGGCGTCCATTATCTTTGTGAAGTTGCCTGTCCCGTCCAGTGCTACACTTACGTCGTAACTCACACCGTTTGTTTCAAGGAGTTTCCGGTCGTTGGGTCTGAACCAGTCTGGGAAATGAGGGCTTTCTTCGTGGTCGACGTTTCTGAGTGCCCGGCCTGGTGGACTCTTTGGTCCTTTAGCAATAGGACCAGGTTTGGAAATGGGTTTGGGTTTCTGATCGTCTTGAACGAGTGGTAACAGCTCCCTAAGCATAGAATATAGTTGATCCAGACTGCCTGAAATGAGCCGGAAGTAGAATTAGAAACATTCTTGGGCAACTCAAAACTTAACTAGAATTAGTAGACATACTGCATAACAAACCTAACTTTATACTATACTCAAGGTGCAACTCAAATTCACTTTTATGGAACAAAATCTTATGGCTAATTTCTTTACATGTCTCATGGTATTCACTGGTTAAAAAAAAAAGGGTAAGATAATTCTATTTTATTCCATATAATTTTGTTTTATGAATGAAAAACATTTGTCTGAAAAATCATTCTGTATTTTTTTAAAAATAAATGGAATGCTAATTTTATTCTCTTAGAACCATTAATATAATTATTTTTATTCCGTCTATTATTTTTATTATTACTAGTTACAGCCTCAAATTATATAGTATTAGTTAAAATTATATAATTACTATATCGTTATCCAAAACCAAAAAAAAAACATAATAGCAAACCTAGTTTTACTCTCTGATATCAATTTTTTTTTTTTTTGAGAAAAATGGCTTCTCTAATATCAAATTTGCATGTTTAAAAGTTATCATATCATTATGTTAAGGTTACTTTTTAGTGACACACACAAATAAGAATAAACATAAGAAAGAAAAATATTAATTACCAGCAATAAGAGATTTGACTAGACCCGATGTACCGTCCAAGCCTTCCTTGCAAGTGTCTTGATTGGAGAGAGCAGCACTCAACCATGTCTGTGTGTCCGATCTCACGTTCCCTGTTCCGTTGCCCTTACCTGCTGGCCCACTCAAACTTCATCATATGTCTTCCTCTTTAATTACTATTACTAGTAGTTTTATCAACACTATCATTTTCATTCACACCTATTTTTATGGTGCATTTTTAAGATGTTAAATCCACGTTCTCTGTCCCTACTACGCACATGCAATTTACTAATGATTATAGAAGTTATATCAACACTTTCATCATCATCATCATCATCATCGTCACTTGACATATGATTTAAAATTTAACATTATCACTTAAGATACGAGATGGAAACTTCTAAATTTTGTTGACTAATCGAATAACATTTTTTGCCAACAACAATAACAATTATTTCAAAGAAAACATAATTTTGTTTACTAAGATTTATTTGGTAAAAATATATTTTTTTAACATTAAATGATTTTCTTACTTTAAGACTTATTTTTAACCTACAGATAAAGTATATATATATATAGTGGCAAACTGACAGTAAAATTGCAGATGACTAATAACTTAGTTTTAAGACCAACATATATGATTAACTCCCCTCTCGCAAACTAGACCACACGATATTTGTCTCAATTTTTCATTTTTTATTCGTGGGGGGTTTTGTTATAAACAACCTTGATATATATATATATATATATATATGAAGACATCTCAAACAAATTTAGGTTATCAAATTATAATCTAGGGAGTAAATGCTTTCTATAACAACTGAAGGGAGGGAGAGTATCATGATTTGTCGCTCTTTCGAAGGCTAGAGAGCAAAAATATTTGTGTTATTAAACTCTTTGCTTAAGCTTAATCAACAAAACCGATTAAGAAACCAGGAATATGCATGTATAAATTAATATTATCACTGTTTCATATTAAATGTCATTGTAGATAATTTTTTTCATTAAAGAAAATATAATGTTGTTTTAGCATTTTAGTGTATAATTTATTAACTTTATTTTTCAGTTTAATTTTCTATTATTTGAAATATAGTTAGATGTATGAATAATGATGTTTTAATACTGAAAATATATAAAATTAATTATTTTTTAATTTTAAATTTTGTGTATATATCTAAAACAATACTTAAAATGAAACGGAAAAATTATTCTTTGTTGTAATGCACAGTTTGTATTAGTTGAATAATAATACTAGTACTAAAAGGTGGTGGTCAAAGAACCACCTAACAACTGAATCACAACCAATTTTTGTGCCGGGCTTCAAATTTAATGCAGCAAGTGGAAAACTATATTTTACTTTTGTTCAAAAATAAACTTTCTCAATTCGGCTCATTTCATGTGAATAAAATGACTTACTATATTACTCCCATTTAACACCATGATGATTATATGCTATTGGAGACTGGAGTCGTGGAGAATCTAACTAGATCCCACTTCCAAACCAGTCGAGTTGTACATGTGTTGTCGTTTCATATATAAATAACCAATTTTAAATATCTTTTTCTTCTAATTACTTGAAAAAAAAACTATCTTTGTAAAGCATATCAAGCAGCTACAAACCTGTTAGATCCTTTTTCTTCTAAAGTGGCAATATTCCTTTCTATTATCCATTGATAATAAGAAATTTTCGATTGGTCCGGTTTTGTATGTTATATTGTAGTTAATTAGGGTTTCAAGGTACGTACCTTTTGGATTCTCAGAAGCAGAAGCAGACCAACTCAGCTCGTCTGAAGATACATCAAGCAGATCTAAACAATCGGAAACCGCATTTTGCAGTCGACGATCCCCACTGAAATTCGCAAACTGAGACAAAATCGAACTCATTTGTCTTATCACTTCCACGATTGTGTTTATTGAGCTCACAAACTCACTTGCCGGAACTTTCAAGTAATCGTATGGCACGCTCTCTTCTGATGACACACACACACTCAGCATCAAGAAGATCAAGAAACCCTTCCACCATGACATTTTCTCTGATTGTTTTTCTTGTTAAGCAATGCCTTTGCTTGTAGCAATAATTAATGAATAAAATGATTAGACGAAGAAAGGATTGGGTGGTTTTGATGACATTGAAGCTCTTCTGAGTTAGTGGAACCTATAAAAGAAGGAACGCATTAAATACGACCTACCTGTATGTCTACTTCTAAACAGTTAAGTCTACGTAAATCTTTAATTGAGACTTAACTCCATTATCCCAACAACATAACTCGTTCTTTCCTCGTTGATATTTCTATTATTTTTCAATTGTATTTATGAGATCTCTTAATTATAGCTCAACCGTCCCACGGCATCCATTATGTTCTCAGACTCGGTCGTCTAGTTAGCATGGACCATTTTATATATCCACCGCCGTATAAAAATCATATACTCCATCCGTTATATTTGAGTTGTGTTTATATATATATATATCATTTAAACAATGAGCATGTTACTCATTCAATTCAATGTGTAGGTTAAACATAAAAAATATTATTGTATTGAGTAAAACATCAATAACTAAATGAAACAAAAGCTTTTAGTTTATATCATTTAATACAAAGGAGACAAATCAAGTAAATGTAGTCATTTATATAAGTATAATACTGACTTGGGATAGTTGTCCCATAAATATGAATAAAAAACACAAAACACTAATTTGAGTCTTGGAAAATTAACCTAAAGATCAATAAGTTGCAACATGTCCTACTATACTATAAATATTTTTACAGAATGATACATTAAAACATTCATACAAAGTTTGGTGCTTGAATTAAATGTTTTATGAGCTTTAAGCCTATCGACGACTCTAGCTAGCAAGGTACTACCACTCTATCATTGTCAAAGTTGATAATTCCACAATATTTCGATGCATGTCTTCTTTTGTATCATTTATTCTATAAGAAGAAAATACTTTGTGCTTATTATTACTGAATGTATTATTACGTAGGAATACGAGAAATGCTATCTGAGTTTATCATTTCATGGCGGTATTCAGTACAAATGATGTATGAGTGGCCTAGCTAGATGCAGTGGCTAGTAGGGCTGGGCATTTTATCCGTTAAATTTGATTCGATTCGTTATTTGTTTCGATTCGATCCGAAAATTCCGGATATCCGTAAACTTTCGAATCAAAGCAAATACTAAAAATCAGTATTCGTTAAAATCGAAGCAAATCACAAATATTAAAATTTTGGGAAGCGGATATCCGATCCGATCCGGAAGTATATAAATATATGTATATCTTGATTATATTTAAAATTTTGTATGTATAATTATATAATTATTATTTAAAATTTTATATAATTATTATTTTAGCACATGATTTTGAACAATTTTATTCACATTATTGTTTATAAAAAGTATTACATAAAAAGAGAGACAAAATTTTATGACAATTACATTTTTTCTTAAATTTTGTGTTGTTATAATTGTAACTTAAACTTAAAAAATTGCAAAATATGTTAATTCACTAGTTCTTTTAATTTTTATTTTATATATCATGCAAAAAAATATTTTTACAAAGCAAATTTGTATCAAAAATTTTAAGTTTATTTGTATTAATCAAAATGGATGAGATATCCGTAAATATTCGTAAATATCCGCAAATATCTATTTATTTTCCGGATATCCGTTTTTCCGAATATCCGTATTTTTTCGAAGCAAAGCAAATACTAAAATTAGATATCCGTAACATTCGAAGCAAATCACAAATACCTTGAAAAACCCGGATATCCGATCCGTGCCCACCCCTAGTGGCTAGATGGAAGGAAAATCTAGACTACAGAATGTCAGAATCCCTTGGACAGATTAAAAAAAAGAGTTATCCAATTATGCGGCAAGTTTACTAAATGTTTCAATTAAATCGAATGGTTACTTTGCAACCATAGAGAGAGACAAGTTGAATAATCTTTTGTTTGATCAATATAAAGTAAAAATTGATGGAAAGATAATAGTGGAGAAAACTCGTGATCGTCGCTCTTAAAAATGATCGAAGAAGAAGAGTCAACTGAAGATATAAAAAGATTTGTCGAAGAGATATTTACTTATTTAGTCACATTGTTCTTTTTTCAAATTGACATTATCACAAAATACTCATGGTCCAAAAAAAAACTCATGGGCCAAAAAAAACTCATGGGCCATATAGAGAAAAAGCCCAGTTTTAATGTGAGTTTCTTTGCTCTCCGTTCCAAGGGACCTTATTAGTAATTATCGTAAAAACGACACCGTTTCGAAACTCGAGCTCCGCTGTTTTGCCTTTCCCTTTCCAATTTTCGCGGAATCATTTTTTTCCACTTCTGGATTTGATCAACGACGCGTCCATTCTCTTCCTATCCCATTCACCACTTTCAAAATCCTAATTGCTGCAGCTTGGAGATAAATCTTCAAAGGTCTTACAATTACTTACTTTTTTTTTGGGATAAGTTATAGTTTTCTCCTTTTACTAAGATGATTGAGATTAGATTTTAATCCTATTAGAGATTAGAGATAATATGTTTATAGTACCCATAATAAATTTTATGATATTTTGGTTTGTGAGAGATACATTTATTAATAATTAAAAGTACAATTTGTTTTCTTAATCTCTGGTACTTACGTCTCTACATCACTAATCTAAATTAAATTAGAGTTTTGATCTAAATACGATGGAGGAAGCTGACTTGAAGCGCGTATGGTCATCTTCTACCAATGCTGATGAGGATTGTACGAGGCAGGAGGAAGCCGATTCGTACCACAAGCGTGCCAAAGTGTATGTACTCTGCCCTTGTGTTAACTCTCTAAACTCCCTTTTTACTACTTGATCACTTTGATAGAAACGGTTATGAAAAGGCTTTTGGTTTCTTTAAAACCAAAGTGAACAGAGATGAGTGTGACATGTGTTAGTTTAGAGTTCTCTTAGCTATTGAAAAACATTATCCTTTTAAGCTGTGACATGAAAGTGTTAGTTCTGATTTGCTGATTGTTCAATTTGCAGTGAGTTCCCGTCTTCTTCTCGGACAGATACTGATTTGTTCTGCCATAATTTCATCTTGAACTATGGTCGGAAAGATGATGATTTTGAAGTTCATGTTGATTTTACTGATGACCTCTTACATGTGGTACATACTCTTGCGTTTTAAGATGATTTTTAAGTTTAATCTTTTATTTTTTTCCCTTTGTTTTTAGATTTTTGTAACTTTTTTTTTTCCACTTTCAGGTGTTCTCGTTCTTGAAACACGTCGACCTCTGTCGCTCTGCTATGGTATGTCGTCAGTGGAGAGTAGCTAGTGCTCATGAGGATTTTTGGAGGGTCTTCAACTTTAAAAATATGAGTATTTCTATCGAGCAATGTAAGTTGTTCTTCTATACATAATGTTGAAATGTGTCTTCAATGGACTATTATACATTTTTTGATATTTTAGTGAATACAATAATAAACTTGTAAAGTTGTAACATTGTAACCTTTAATGGCCTGTAAGAGAAAATATACAAAGGCGCTATATTACTCAAACTTGTATTTTTTCCATAATCGCAAGGCGTTAGATAGATAAAGTATAACCTTTGGTTGCTTTGTGTGGCAGTTGAAAACATGTGTCAGCGCTATCCCAATGCCACTAAAGTGAATGTTTATGGCGTTCCTGATGTTAACGCGCTCGCTCTGAAAGCAGCTACCACTTTGAGGTATCTATCTGTCTTGAATATGCTTTCATAAAGTAAAGTTTGTACATATGATAGCCATCGCAATGCTTTTGGTTTTGTTTCAGGAATCTGGAGGTCTTAACTATTGGAAACGGTCAAATCACTGAAAACTTTTTCCAGATATTGGGGGAGTGTAATAAGTTGATAAGTGTGACCATAAGTGAGGCTGTTTTAGGAGATGGTGCTCAGGAAATACACCTGAGTCATGATCGGCTACATAAACTTAAAATTAAAAAATGCAGCGCTCTGCGTTTGTCTATCAGGTGAAGTTGTGTTTTTTTTTTTTTTTTTTCATTTGATTCTTATTCGTCTATGTGTATTTCATTCTCAATTTTTTTTCGGTTCTATCATATTAGGTGTCCGCAGCTTATGTCTTTATCTTTAAAAAGAAGCAACATGATACTGGCGATGCTTAACTGTCCACTACTCCAACATCTTAACATATCCTTGTGCCATAAGCTCCAAGATGCTGATATCCGTTCAGCTGTCACTTCGTGTCCTCAACTAGAGTCGCTTGATGTTTCTAACTGTTCATGTGTCAGTAATGAAACTTTGCGTGAAATAGCCCAGGCTTGTGCTGGGCTCCGTATTCTTGATGCTGCGCACTGCCCCAATATATCTTTTGAGGTTTGTGTCATGTTTTCTGCTATCTGTTGTGTATCATACTCGTTTTTCTGACTATGTGTGACCTTTTATTCTTTGTAGTCAGTACATCTCCCCATGTTGACAGTTCTCAAGCTTCGTAGATGTGAGCGTATAACATCGGCGTCTATGACTTGGATTGCTAACAGTCTAGCGCTGGAGGTATGTGATTGCTTTTGTTTTTTTTTTCCACACATGCATACACATGCAAAATTTTCTGCAACCTTTAGCTATCACATATCATCTATTGCAGGTTTTGGAGCTGGATAATTGCTATATGTTGACATCTGTCGCGTTGCATCTCACCTGTTTGCAGAGTATACGCCTAGTAAATTGCCGCAAGTATAGCCTTCAACTTTTGTTTTGCTCTGAAAATTTTGTATGATATTTTTGTGCTAGCATTTCTCACACTAGTGTGTAACAGATTCACAGAGCTGAACTTGCAAAGCACCATGCTTTCATCAATCACTGTTTCAAACTGTCCAGCTCTTCGCCAAGTCACAATCACTTCCAACGTCCTTCGAGTATGCACTTTGTTATCGTGATTTGTTGGATGTGTTGATCTGATTAACCTGTTAACATTTCTTCATTTTTGTTTCAGCGATTAGATCTCAAGAAACAGGAGAATTTGACAACATTAGTTCTGCAGTGCCAGTCCTTGCAAGAAGTGGATCTCTCTGGTTGTAAATCACTGTCCAACATTGTTTGTGATCTCGATGGTGGATGCCCAATGCTGAAATCGTTAATTCTTGACAACTGTGAGGTGTGATACAGTTTCTTCATGTTCTTTTGGCTGCTACATATGAAAACATAGTGAAATATATATATATAGTTAATTAAGGCAGTGGATCATATTATTCTGTCTGCTTAACTGATTATGAATCTTGTATCATCCTGTAGAGCTTAACAGAATTGCGGTTGTGCAACTCATCTTTGTCTAGCCTGTCACTTGTTGGCTGTCGTGCTGTTACTTCTCTTGAATTGAAGTGCCCTCGCATAGAGCAGATATGTTTGGACGGATGTGATAATCTTGAAACTGCATACTTCAAGCCTGTAAGTGTTACTTCCCTCATATTACACAACTAACTTTGCCGAACTGATGGATTTCTGGCATCTCCCTTGACCGTTCTGGTTATGACCAGATTGCGCTCCGGTCTCTAGATCTAGGAATATGTCCTAAGTTGAGTGTGCTCAGTATCGAAGCGCCTTATATGGTGTCCCTTGAGTTGAAAGGTTGCGGTGTACTGTCTGAAGCATCTATCATTTGTCCTGTTCTAGCATCTTTAGATGCCTCTTTCTGCGGGTAATCATTTATTGTTTGATATATTTCATTTTCATATCTTATGGTGCTGCTAATCAACTTCCCCCCATGGCCTTTTCCAGACAACTGAGGGATGACTGTCTGCCTGCAATTACTGCTTCTTGCCCACTAATTGAGTCACTGGTGCTAATGGCATGCTCTTCTATTGGCTCTGATGGCTTTTCTTCCTTGAAAGGCCTCCAAAATTTGTCTGTTCTTGACTTGTCATACACTTCAGTGATGAATCTTGAGCCCATCTTCAAGTCCTGTGTTCAACTGAAGGTATGTAAGACCTTATGACTTGTATACTTTATATTCATTCCATGAGAACTTCTTGAGTTAAGCTGTGCCTTCTTTTGTTGTTTAGGTACTCAAGTTACATACCTGCAAATGTCTCACTGAGTCAACACTGGAGCCTCTATACAAAGAAGGTGCATTACCGGCACTTGAAGAGTTGGACCTTTCTTATGGAACTCTCAGTCAGACTGTGATAGATGGTTTACTTGCGTGCTGCACGCACCTGACCCATTTGAGCTTAAACGGCTGTGTTAACATGCATGACCTTAAGTACTTTAGTGTATACAGTTCTAGTGATAGTAGTCAAGAACCAGCTGAGACAAGTAGCAACCGGTTACTACAAAACCTCAGCTGTGTGGGTTGTCCTAATATCAGGAAAGTGTTGATACCTCCTGCAGCTCGGTTTGATCATTTATCATCACTGAACCTTTCTCTATCAATCCTTTTAAGGAAGGTTAATATCGCCTGTTCCAGCCTGGTCTTACTTAATCTAAGGTAGGAGAGGGATTTAGCATTTGTTACTCTGACTTGTTTCTTTATTTCTCATCAAAAAGATTGGTGTTATTCCATTTGCTAATTAAATTTTAAATTTAAAATGGATTGTTTTAGCAATTGTCGCTCTCTGGAAGTACTGAAGCTTGACTGTCCAAGATTGGCTAGTCTATTTCTTCAGGTAATGTTTTTGCCCAATAGTTGGCTCTGTTAAATATCATGATTTTTTTTGGGTTTTAAGGTAGTTAAATCACATGGGTTTATATATGTTCAAAATATATGTGTATATATATATATATATCTATAGTTGACACCTTTGTCTTTGGTAGTCTTGTAAAATGGATGAAGCAGGAGTTGAAGCAGCTATATCAGGATGCCGCTCACTAGAGACATTAGATCTCCGTTTCTGTCCAAAGGTAATAACTAGAGAGAGATAGTGTTTACTTCAGTATCAAAGTTAAACAAATATTCCATTGGATCATAAAAGACTTTGAACTTTGAAAACCATTTCTTGGTGATTAACAGATATCTTCAGTGAGCATGGAGAGGTTCCAAACAGTGTGCCCTAGTTTGAAGAACGTCTTCAGCAATCCTAATCTTTTGCAAAATAGGGCTTTGCATTCAGTGTTTCATGATATGTTGTGTCGTTTGGGATGCAACTAATGGATCCAAGTCTCGGGTTTCAGTAGTGCTTATTATAGGCCTCTGGAGCTTGTACCTGTGGCCTTTTTTGTCTCTGCTTGTGTGACTACACAAACCTTTTTGTGTCTTCTTTTCCTGGTTTTACGACAGAATCTGTTCACCAGTCGAATGAATCTGTCTCCACTGTTGAAACTCTTGCATAGTGGATACGTGTGGGATTCAGAAGCAGTTCATGGTTACGCTTGCAAAATCGGTTTGGACGGTGATGAGTTTGTTTCCGGAGGTCTTGTTAAAATATATCTGAAGTTTGGTATGGTTAAGGAAGGTAGGGTGTTTTGTTTGAGTTTGATGTTGAAGGCTTATCTGTATATGGGTTTTAAAGAAGAAGAAGTGGAGCAGGTCTCTATTGCATTTCATAGAAGTGGCTTGTATCCCAATGAAACCACTTTCCGTTACAGTCATGCCCACTTGCTTAGGAGATGTAAACCAGGACCAGAGGGTAGAGGATCCTGCTTGTTGTGCGAGCTTCAGTTTTCTTTGTGACTTGGATCTTTTCTTCTTCGTTGGTTATTTTCTCCATCGACTGGTTTAAGGCTATGTATTGTGAAAAGATAATTTTCAGTTGATGATTTGCAAGGATTCAGATAGCCTTGTACAGGACAATGCATCCATCCACACTGATCTAGTTTTTGTACTTTTCTTACTGTTATGTATACCTCTTTTTACAGCAAATACAATTTTATCTTGGAACGGAATCATTATTTATTTTATGAGCCCAGTATTAACAATATTAACTATTTTCAAACGGTACGTTTCGAGACGTCCTACCTAACCAAACGAACCGGGAAGCAACAAGAAGAACCGAAGACTCAAACGAGCTTTGCTGTTTTGTCTTTCCCGTTCCAATTTTTGGCGGATTGTTTTCGTATTTGGGATTTAATCAACGACCACTTTGGTTTATTTATAGCCTCTCTAATAAAACCCACACTAGGTATTTTGCCCGCACTTGCGGGTATAATTCTTTTATAAATATTTATTAATTAATATTTCATTTATTTAAAAATTAGCATAATAAATTATTATTTATGTTTTCAAAAGTAAAAATTAAACATCAACTAATTATCAATGACAAAACTCAAACATCAGAAATATTTTTAAGAAATATATTTCTAGAATTATTCTCTTGATTTATATTTAATTATAATATCTATATCTTAATTTTAAAATTTATAATAGAAAAACGTATTTTCAAGATAACAATATAATGAATGAGTTATTTATTTCCTAAAAATATAATATGATAATTTTTTAATTATATAATAATTATATAAGATTATATAAATTATGAAATATAATTAAAATTACCTAAAATCATAGAGAACTTAATGAATCAACAAATTCACTTCTTAAATAATTATTTTTTGGAGTGCTGATTTATATTTATTTAATAATAGATAATGTTTCTATTTTACTTTTAAATTATATAATATAAAAATATATTTTGAAGATAACAACATAATACATAAGAATTACCTTATTTTATAAAATTATAATATTATCAGTTTAAATTTATTTCAATTATAGAATAATTACAATTTTTTATATCTTAATTTTAAAAACTATTAGATAACAACTAATTTTTTTACATGGAGACAAATCAAACATTCAGTTTCAAATCATTATTTTGATGATTTATATTTAATTATTAATAATATAATTTATATCTTAAGTTTAAGTTTTATAATAGGAAAATATATTTTCAACATAACAATATAATACATAATAATTATCCTATTTTAGAAAAATATTAAATTATTAGTATAAATTCGTTTTAGTTATATAATAAATATAATAATTTTTATATCTTAATTTAAATTTAAGTTTTATATATAAAAATATATTTCAAGATAACATAATTCACAAGAATTATCTTATTTTTTAATAATATGATATATTCATACAAATTCATTTTAATTATAAATAAATTATATATAAATAGTAAAAATATGATAAATTAACAAAATTACCTAAACTTATGGAGAACATGACAACTAATATTCATATAAATTCCTTTTATTTATAAATAAATTATATATAAATATTCAAAATATGATAAATAAACAAAATTACCTAAAATTATGGAGAACATGACAAATAAGCAAATTTACTTCTCAAATAATAGTATAGATACTACGCTTCCTACTACTTATCTATTCGCATCCTACTCCATTTTCGAGTCGAATTCTTCCTTGCCCCTCTCATTCCCATGTCTATTCTATATTACTTTACTAATAAAATAAATTATATTTTTATTCATATTTTAATCAAAAATGTGGTAAAAAACGAAACTACCCTTAACAAAATCACGTATGGAGGATTTTGGATCGTAAGCATCCAAAGTATGGCCTGGTCAAGTGGATTAAGTTGGTGACAGCGACGATGGCGCTACACAACTTCATACGTGATTTGGCAAAGTGGTGATGATGGAGAAGGAGGAGAAGAAGCTGATGGTGATGAAGAAGAAGGTGATGATGATGATGATGATGATGATGATGATGATGATGATGATGATGATGATGATGATGATGATGATGATGATGGTGGTGGTGGTGGTGGTAGTGGTGGCCATATTATATATGAGCCGAAAGGTGATAGAGCGATGGAAGCTTTGCGTGATAACATCACAAATGAATATGGTAGAGGCCGTTTACCATATTAAATGTTTTAGTTAATGATTTAGTTTTTTTTTTGCTTATAACTTTGATTATCATTTGAATTTGATATTTATTTAAGACTTGATGTATTTTTTTTTATCAACCAATTTGATATAATATTGAGCTTTTGTTTCTGATAAATATTTTTAAGTATTATTTTTTTCTAATTTAGCTTATGATTTATGAAAAAATGTTGTAAAATTTGTATAATTGACCAAAAATTCATTACCAAGTAAACATAATATTTTAATGGATGTAAATATATTTGAACTATATTTTATTTTTTTAAATACAATTTTACAATTTTTTTAACATAAAATATGAAAAAATGAAATAGACACAACGTCTATCAAACGAGTAATCCAACAATCTACATATCAGTGTCGGCGTCGGTGTCAGCGTCAACTTTCGGCGTCTTTTAAACGAACAACAATCTGCGGCAGTGTCAGCGTCAACGTTGGTGTCAGCGTCTGCAAAACGAACAACAACTATTTTCATTGACGCTGACGTCGACGCTACCGCTGACGCTGAAACCCGCAGCAACCAAACGAACAGGACCGATGGTAAACGGCCTCAAAAAGGTTTTATGATTTTTCTCAAACCCTAACTGATGCATCTTAGTAATATATTTAGTGACTATGGTATCCACCTCAAATCAGCTAGCTTTCTCAACGGGTCTGGATGAGCTTGGTCATACATATTGTTTCAGTTTCCCTTTTCTAGTAGCCTTTTAAACGTTAAGGCTCTTAATCAGGCTTAATCAGGCTTAAACACTTTTAGGTTCCAAAATTTGTAGGCCCCATAAGTTTGAAGATGTTTGTTAGACTATATCCAATCCTACTACATTTTAATCTTTTTGTTTTATTTAGAAAGAAGTTTTACTCCAATCCTATTTTTTTTTTTGTTTCGAAATAAAGTGATGACGGATGTTGTTTTAAATTTAAAGACTAGATTTTGACCCGCGCTTCAAAAGCGCGGGTTTTTGTTAGATTATAAACAAATTTTGATATGATTTAGTATTTTAGAAATGATGTACATTATTAGGCTACAAATCTTAATATATAAAATAGATTTTTTTGAAAAATTATGTAATTTATAAATTAATTTATTTGAGATTTTATATGTAAGTTTTTAATGTAACTCTC